GTCATTTTCTCCAGAGGTAAAAAATGTGTTATCTGATCAATGAAAAGTTTAAATGTTGGAGGACGTTCATTCTTCCAGAGTAAAAGTATACATTTCTTGGCAAAATATGTTATTGTGATTAGTATTCTATAATGTTTGGGGTTCAGTTTAAAGTTTGGCATATCATTTAACAGGAAAAAACATGGATTTTGGCTCATTTCGATGCCTAAAACGGCTTTTGTGAGCGCATGAATCGAATCCCAGAAATGTTTCAAGAGATCACAGTCCCAAAACAGATGCATAAATGTTCCTTCTTTTACTTTACATCTCGGACATTTTGGAGAGTTTTCTTTGGAAATGTTATGCATCTTTATGGGTGTGAGGTAAAATTTGTTGAGAAATGTAAAGTTTGCTTCTTTGATTTTATTGCTTGTGAATGGAAAATGTGTTCTTTCACAGATATTCAGCCATGTAGTTTCATCTATCTGTATCCCTAAGTCCTTTTCCCAGATCTTTTTTAAAGTTGGAAAGGATGACTGAGCTCTTTTAGAAAAAACTGCATTAAATTCTCTAATTTTACCTTTGATTGTGCTCAATGACATCAATATCTCTTCCTCTTCCAACAATCCCGATCTCAATTTATTGCTTTTAATAATTGATTGGATCACGTTCCTAATTTGAAGGTATCTGAAAAAATCCTTATTTGAAATGTCATATTCTGCTCTTAAATCATTAAATGATTTCAATGTTATATCTTTGTGAAACAAATGTTTCAATTGCTTTATACCTGATTTCGTCCATTTGTTTATATTGATTGACAACAAATATTTGCTAAGATCAGGATTGTTCAAAATAGGAGAAAAGATTGAAATACCTGAGTTAACATGAACTTTTTTTGTACAGTCCCTCCAGGCTAAAAGTGTATTGACCACTGTAAAACATTTGGCCATATTTTTCACCTTATTGAAGTCTTTAACAAATATAAGAGTTTCCACTGGCAACGGGTCAAAGACACTGGCTTCTATCTGAACCCATAGTGAATCCTTTCTTCCCAGAAACCAAGATAGTACATTTCTTAATTGAGCTGACCAGAAGTAGTGTTGAAAGTTGGGAAGACCAAGACCCCCCATGGTTTCTGGTTTCATAAGAGTAATTAACTTGATTCTTGGTTTTTTATTACACCAGATAAATGTGTCTATTGAGAGATTTAAAATAATCAGCGGACACATAGCATGGTAACATTTGAAAAAGAAAAATACATCTCGGTAGAATATTCATTTTTATGACATTGATTCTTCCTAGCAGTGATATTGGTAATGTGGACCATTTGGATAAATCCTGTTTGATTTTGTCAATGAGCGGATTGTAATTGTCAACATGTTCAATGATTGTTAAAGTAAAAGTGTGTATTATTCCAATTTGTTATGTCTAGCAAATTCTTTCTCCATATCCTCAATTTTAGATATCCATCTATTTCTTTAAATACTATAAAGACAGCATTTTTTGATGCATTTTTTATTTTAATTTCAGGACATTAAATTACTGTTTTTCATGTTTTTCAGCCGTATCAACATGGATAATTTAACAAACTCCCTTCACATTTTGACGCAAACAACACCCCACTTCATTAGCTTTGCAGTTAAAGAAAGTTTTTTTTTCAAAAGCATAATATAGTTCTTAAATATTTATACAATTAAGTACTCAGTTAGTTAATTAACTGGTTTCTCAATCAGCAGGACATTTCTTTTAATGAATCAATTGTTCAAGTAATTTACAAAGCAAAAATAAAAAATACTTTCTCTTCTTAGCTTTTTATGCGTGGATTTGCTGTTTTTCTACATGTTAAGGACTTAATTATAAATCAGTTAATGGGAAGAAAATGATCAGTAGGTAGAAACCTCAGGAAGAGCAAGAGAGGAGGGGTCCCTCTCCCCTAACCCAACGATCAATTCAGGACCACCCAAAGAGTTGGCCTTTTTGTTTTACATACAGCAACTTGACCAACTTTTTTTCCCTTCCCTTTCAGAATAAGACCAGCCACCATAAACTACTCTGCAGAATCTATGCGCTCCTCTTCCTCCCAATTTAACCCTTCTGCAGGCGCGTCCCGCTCCTCAGCAGCAGCAGCAGCAGCAGGAGGAGCAGCAGCAGCAGCAGCAGCAGCAGGAGGAGGAGGAGGAGGAGGAGGAGGAGGACCTGCCGCCAAGGACAAGCCACAGGTCAAAAGTAAGTATTTGTGTAAAGGGCTTTGAGTTTAGGATCTTTAAAAGGGACTACATTATTTTTCTATTTGTTCTCAAATCTCCCAATGCTTTTTCCTCTCGCAGAAATCGCCCCCATGATGGCCAAAACTATCAAAGCTTTCAAGAACCGATTCTCCCGCCGATAGTGTGAAAGAGACTGAATGTATTTTATCAATTCCAACTGTGTTTTTAATTTTTTATTTAAGTTGAGCAAAATTGTAATGAAGACCCCTTCATCCCAACACACACACACACACACACACACACACACACACACACACACACACACACACACACACACACACACACACACACACACACACACAAGTAAACACACACACCATCATCGAACATATCATAGGAACTTTTCAGTGTTGCTTGAAACATGGTTCGTTTTTTTAAATGAAATGACGGTCGATAGGTTCGAGGTCCGTGTAAAAACAATGAAGTCAACCCCTTTTTACAAGACGCAAAGGACGCACACAAACACACACGCACTTGCAAACACACAGTCTGTTACTTTTTCTTGTTTTCCAGCAAACTTTAAAAAAAGGAATGGCTCCACTCCTTTTGGGAAACACTATTTTTCCTAGTCAACAAAAAGATTGATACCATTCATGACTGTATGTTAAATATGAAGCTAGAACCAGGAGACGCTTAGCTTAGCAGTCTAACTGGAAGCAGGTGGGACACAGCTAGCCTTGATCTTTACAAATGTAACAAAGTTAGTTGGAAACTACTACTATTTTTGTACATATTGAAAAACTGAGAAACCTATTAAATACTTAGCTTCATATGTGGTGGTAGGGTATTGCTGAAATGCTAGCTATTTTTCCCCGTTTCCAGTTTTTATGCTAGTTAGCCAGCTCATGGCTTTAGCTTCACAGTTTAGCATACACAAGATGAAGGAGTGGGATAATCTTCTTATGTAACTCTTGGCAAAATATAAATTGGCATTCTCCTTCAACTAAAATAGCAAACTTTTCTTCATGAGACAGAAAACAATACGGATTCATTGATGTTTTAAGATTAGCTGTTTTTTTAATCACGATCAAATGGTACACTACATGAGGAAAAACTTTAGGCTACATACCGTTGAATTTTTTTGATCTTAATTGCATGCATGGTGCACGTCAGCCGAGACAAAAATTGTGTTGTCAAAGACCCTGCTTTTTAAAATCAAACAAACAGATGCATATTTAAATGTTTCTTTGTGTAGGGCTTTACTGATATCAGTCAACTACACACACGCACACACAAACACATTGTAGACTTATTTTCAACCCTCCTATGGCTTCAGATCATGTTTTCCTGCTGTTGAATGTGTGTGTCCCTGTTGTTAATATATGCACACTGTGACAAATGGCTTGAGGGGGAGCTGAAGAGACTGCAGGAGAGAAGAAGAACATCAAGCAAACACAACAACGGGGAAATTATGTAATAGGACGTCTGCAGCTTCAGTTTCTACAACATGATGATGAGATGTATTTATTTTCAACACTGGGACCTGGTACCCGACAACATGGGCCCGAATGGAATTAGATTAAAAATTGTAATTTTATTAGATTTTAATAAATGTTATATGGTCATTTTTATTAAAATTGACTTTTTGCCCTTCATTTTGTCGAGGTGATTTATTGAGCACACATCCCCTGTGCTTTCTTATGATCTTCTTTCTTCTTTTCTGCAGAGGAGATACACTGTATTATTACTGTATAATATTGTTTACAACCTTAAATCATGCGGCATTTATTACCAATTAAACCTATTACTTGTGTTTTCCCAATTGTTTCAAATATCTCTTATCATAAAGGTTTATCGTGCTGAGTAGAGTAATTTTTGAATTTTTACATTTATGCTTTCTTTTATTTTACTTTTCACCTTATTTTGCCTCACATTTTATGAAATCTTTGATATTTTAAAATTAAACAATTCTGAAAACATTTCAAGTAATTTAGATTTGCATATTTATGCTACTATTTATGCAAGTTAATTTGCAGATTTAAATACTTTGAATCAAAAATATTAACTAATGGATTCTTAAACAGTAATAAAGATTAAGCTACCCAGGAGTATATCAATTAATTAAATTGTGCAAAACTATTTTCTTCTGCCACATTAAAGTGATTATTAATGCATTGATAATTGAAATGAAATAATTATAATATCAATTACAGTTATTCTTAAATGGGCCACTCTCCATTATAGTTAATTTGACTTTTGGTTAATTTGACTTTTGGTTCGTTAGGTATTTGATGCATGTGTTTGTACTTTTACTTAATTACACAAAATATGCTGCATTTATTTGAATTAATGCAGACTATGTTCAGGGAAGGGTGTTTATAGTGGTTTGCGTTTATTTTTTAACTTTACGACAGTATCGACGTTTGGTGGTGAGAGATGCGAGCCAATCAGAGAACAGACATGCGTTGTGTTTAGTGGTTTGTTGTTCCACAGATGAAGGGGCTACGATGTTGTCGAGAAATATTTCCTTTCCCCTTCAAAATAAAATATTTGGCTGCCCATCAAATACATTGTTCAACGTTAAGAGGCCAAACTGTTTTCTATTATCTCCAAAGAAACACTGTTCCTAAATAGATACAGTCGTTAGTGCGGGTAAAATAAATGTGAATCTTGAGTTTACATTTGATCTAATTTATATTTGTTTCATCTAATGACTAACAATATCTAAATGAAGGGCTGTGTTACTGTCAAGTTTAATAATTTGCAAAAACATGCTACCACAATTACTTAATTGTAATATATTACTTAACATTTTATGTGTGTTTATGTTTTTTTATATTTAGTGTGCATAGTTGGAGGAAGCCTGAGATCTATTTACACAGAAATTAACAATACTAGTAGTTGAGAGGCTTTGCAGTCACACACAACTAGGAAAAACGACAACAAAGCTTGACACATAAATGTGAAGTCTAGATGGGAATATTATGTTCACACACACGTTTGTGAAAAGGTGTGTGTACATCAAATGTAATTGTATTGCAATATATTTTAAAAGCCCCGATGAACAACAGTAAATAATAAAATGTCTACATATTGAAGTACATTAGAATGTGAATTGTAAATAAAAATATGACAAAGAAATAAATGCTGACAGGACATAAAGAGCCAGCCATAGTTGATTCTGTGGCTTATGATGAGACTTGTATTTCCTAATGCTTCTTTGTCTCGTTATTATTCCAGGCAATTCAATGTTTAGATCTCAGCCCATTCACATTCGACAAAAACTGCTTGCTTTATTGTGAAATTCCTGAACCGGAACTACCTTCAGTTTGCTTTAAGATGCAAAGTGAAACTTGCTTATCGCAGTTCATTTCTGAAAACACACTGAACACGCATTGGCAGCAGTAAACTACTCTTAGTCCCAAATAATCACGAAAGTATCGTGTTTAAGCTCCACGATGTCCGGACACGGTCATGGCCATGGTCACGGGCACGGCGGGTGTGAGGGGGAACATGAGCCCGCGGAGAGGGGCCTGGAGTACGGACTGTACCAGAAGATCGACCTGGAGAAGATGCAGTGCCTGAACGAGAGCAGAGACGGGGACGGGAAGCTGGTGTTCAAACCGTGGGACCAGCGCCACGAGCGGGACAAGGTAACGGCCGCACAGAGCCCCTACCCCGGCCAGTAATCCTGTCTATGTCCGGGACATACCGAGGGGAGGTTTACGGTTGTTCCCTGAATGTGTGCCCGGTTGAGGGTGCTGGTCTGTGGGCTTCTTGCTTCGGAGCCTCGCTGTGACAATAGTATGAAGCTGCGTACAGTTTCGAAAAAACAACTTTATTTATATCACAGGCTGTCGAATTACATGAGGCTGGAGCCTGGCATGTTGTTTACTATTATAACACTAAACAAAATAGTTCAAATCAAGGGAAAGCAAGTAACTTAAAACGTACTTAGTATAGTTTTGTGTTTTACTTTAAACTGCTAACCTGCTGTTCAGATGTTGAACGTGTTGTTCCAGTACATTATTAGCATGTCTAGTAACTTTTTTATACATTATACAAAAGTAACCATTGACAGGCAGTTATAATTGTATACATGCAAATTAGTTGCAGCCCTCTTTCCATAAGTGCATCACCATAATCATATAATGTGATATAATACAAATTATTTGACTTTGATCCTTTTAAATATACTCAGCTGAACATACATCTATACTTTTACTTTCAATTAAGGCATCTTACTTGAAAATTTCAGTATTTTCACATAGTTGTACTGTGGCTTAACTCAGTAGTTGTTCACCACAGTAGAAATCATCAGATCAAACATGGTTTTAAAATTAAGATATTTATAAACCGGTATATCACAATATGGCAAATGTTGACAGAAGGACACTTAAAGTAATTGAAAAGATTCTTGTAACTATTGTTTTCATTGTTGGCAATTTTGCAGATTAGTTTTTATTAACTAATAACAAATTGTGTGTTAATGATCAGATGTTGGATATTGCTGATTGCTTGTACTGCCGTCTTCTTGGCACTAAAACCGTTATCACAATTACTTGATGTAGTGTTTTACTGCTGTTGTATTTCAGTAAAAAAAAGATTGACTCTTCTTTCTCTTTTTGCTTTCAGTATGTTGAGAGTGACGCAGATGAAGAGCTGCTGTTTAACATCCCGTAAGTGCTGAAATCATCATTTCTTAAAAGAAAGTATTTTGAGATGACACATAAGTTGTTATTATCATAAAGTGTCTATGTAAGTTGCTAACAAGGTTCTTCCTCACGAAAAAGTATGAGAAGAACTCTATGATATTTGCTGTAATGTCCAATATGTTTGTGGTTGTTATTTTCATTTTCATTTTTCCCTAAGCCACCATTCATCTTCATGTGACAGCTTGTTGTCTTTCACAGCGTTCTCTTTTGTCAAAGATAGCAGTGAATATGAATGTGTCATCTCTTCCAGTTTTACAGGCAGCGTGAAGCTGAAAGGCATCATCATCTCTGGAGAAAATGACGACTCTCATCCAGCTGAGGTTCGACTGTGAGTGTTCACCGCTTCTTTGATCAGGGAGATGCACCCATTGCCCTTCTTTCTTTCTAAGAACTATAATCGGCAGGATACACACACTTTTACGTAACTTTCTTTTATATGGGACTGCAATTCAATTCAATGTTCATAATAAAACATCAACTATCAAATAAATTACATTTTCTCCAACACTGGACCTTCTTTCTCTCCCTCTCAAAATAATCTCAAATTGAAACTGCTCAAGGCAACTCGACAAATAAAATTCAACTGAAAACGAATTGAAGTAGATGAAACCTTTATAATCTTAGTGAATTTGACTGTCACAAAATATGAAATGAGGTATAAGGTACGATAATATTTTATTGTCACTCACCTCCGACAATTTTCTTGCAACAAAGCTGCTTAATTTGAAACACCAACCCATATTTAAAATGAGAAACAAGGAAACAGACATTTAACACAACACAATCACTGAAGACCATAGAGGTTTCTCAATACTCAAATTTCCCCTCCTCGACTCCTATGCTCGACTCCTCTCCTCGAGACTTGGTGCCGCCCACAGGAGATGCGAGCGGAGGACTGAGGAGGGGAACCGAGGAGAGAGGAGGGGAAGCAGCAGGCGGTTAGAGAAATGAGAACTCCTCTCCTCTGAGCGGTCATTTTAAAGAGACGTCCATTAATGATGACAGGAGGCACAGCAGCCCTCTGTCTGATGGACAGACGTGTTCATGACGACTTATATATTTACTTTTAATTCATTGACAGTGCGGTATAATGAGACAATAACAGGCTACAGATGCGGACATATACACACACACATATATTTATATAAATATACACAATTTCAGAATCAAACAAGTATGAGAGCACTCTCATAATAACGTAACACAATCAGAGACTGGATATATCCCCCTCCCCCCCCCCTCTCTCTGGTCGCTCAAATGGGGAATTGAAATTACGGGCCAAAAGTTGTACAAGTATTAAAAGTAAACACCAAACCAACTGAGACCCGTCTGTCCGCCGCATCTACGCACTGTACAACACACACCTACACACTGTACCACACACACACCCTACACACTGTACCACACACACACACCTACTGCTCCTAAAGCATAATCAGGCTACAGCCGTTGTGTATTTTATTATGTGAAGCACTAAATGGTCTTAGAAAAATATCGACTCTTTGTTTGTAGATATCACTAAACTACAGCATACAAATACAGAAAGTAATGTAGGCCTGTTATACTGAGTGATATACATTTTACACACTGCTCTGCTTTCTGCACGGACCTCACAGCTGTTCTCACTGTAAACATCGCGTTGCGATGAAAGCAGACAGTTACTAAAATAATATCCAAGGGATGCATGCAGAGCTGTCATTGGCTGAGATAAGTCCGGCCGTGCTCCACGCCTCCACCGTTCCCGGAAATTCATCCGTGGAGGAGCCGTGGAGGATGCATCAGTGTCTCCTCGGTTAGAGCTCCTCCAGAGAGCCTCCTCGATGCTCGGTCCTTGGAGTGCATTGAGAGAATGAGATGTCCTTCAAAATGGCGCGCTGAAATTCATTTCCGGGTCACTACCGGAGGACCGAGGAGTCGAGGAGGAAAAATTTGAGTATT